TTCACCAAAACTCGGTGAGGTCTGAGCAGTCGTTACTCCGACAAACCATTAAACCGACAAGAGTGAGGATCGTTACGGGCGCCAATGTCTGCCTGGGTCATATTCACGACGGAGGCAAGAACGGTAAACAAAAGAAAGATAAATGTTAAATAACCAGGGAAAGGAAGAGCAGAGAACGAGACACTACCAGGAAGCAACCTTTTGGGAGTCCCGGGGAGGGTGAGACAGGCGCTGCTGCTGACTTACACCTTCCTCCCGTCTGGCACTATCTTCCTCCCATTCGCCTCCATAACAGTACATTTTCCCACCATACACTCTGCTGTGTTTCTTCACAAGGTGATACGCCAAAACTATTCTCACTTCTCATCAATTCTTTAACAGAATGAGTAACACTTATGCTGCCTTAACCCACAATTCCCAAGCTCAAGTCGTATAAATTATTTCAAACTAGTGACAATCATTTCACTAACACAAACGAAAATAAACAGATACCTCGACGAGAACGGATTCCTCCCCTAAACCAATTTTAGGTTAGGGAGGCATTACAACAAGTTCTCAAGCCACACACACAAGACCTCATTTCCATTTTTGTACAGTAACTCGCCAAGGGCCAAAGAAATCGTGCCATTTTGATTTTTACGGCGTGGCACGTTTGTGGTTATGGTTTATTTGTTTGTTTAGAGGCCATACTTGACACCACACTCCAAGGTGACACGTCTGAGTTGTGTATGAGGAGGAGGGATTCTTGAGGGAGGGAAAGAGAAGAAAAAAAAACTATCTCACTTCCTAAGTCAAATTTTCATGATCGCTGACCAGGTACACAAGCGACGGGAGGTGTGCTGACGTATAACTTGATCCCACAGAACGAAGCTGCTTTGATAAAACGAGTCACTCCCCCTTTGTCGCTCCCCACTCCTGCGTCTTGCCCAGTGGCCCACTAACCCACCATAACCACCACCTTCACTACCATCACAATTACTACTATAACCATCAACACCACCACCACAACTATTACTATCATTACTACTACTTCTACCACCACCACTAGTCTCCACCCCCATCAATAGCCCCCTCTCCGACAGTGGAAGTCAATCACACAACATTCCTCGTGATAGCTTCCTCCAACACCCACCACCACCACCACCCCCCCTCCACACACACACACACACCATTAAACACACAGGAAACTCTACACTACAATTTCCAATTCAACAAGAAACACATTAATACTACGAGTCACAAAACACAACTGGATCAAATACATAAATATACGAGGAGTAACATATCACTTCTAACGAGGGAACCTCCGTGGAAGGAAAGAAATCAACATGAAACGCCAAAAAAATAAATAAATAAAAAATAAATACTAAATTAATAAATACAGGGTTTCCTAAAATAAAATAAAAATAAAAGGTATAAACAACTAATTTACGGTTTTTCGTGATTTGGTGAATGCGCGTATTACAACCACAACATTGTCCTTACCTAAGTATCAACTAAGATAAAATATCCCCACAAACCACAAATTTTCCTGATCTAGGGAAGAAAAACAAGAAATAATCCATGAAAACTCCCTCAACAGGGTGGGGTTTTTCCTCCCCCTTAAGAGAGGCACGGGAGGGAGACGGTGCTGCACGTCCGAGAAAATAGCCCAAGCTAGCATAAATAACTATATGACTACCGACCTCACCATACCAATCTACAGTATGAAAAACGCCAACTGTAAGAGTCAATGGGGGGGAGGGGTGGGGTGAGGTGAGGGCGGCGGAATGATGAGTGGTGAAGAAGGAAGCGGTGGAGGAAATAAGGGCGGAATGAGTGGGAGAGGAGAAAGATGGAGTGAGAGTAGAGAGGAGGAAGGAGAAGGAAGGGTAGGATTGGATAATGGGGAAAGGGAAGGGTAAGATAAGGGTGTAGAGGGGGTAGGGTGTGAGGTAGGATTGTGTAGAGGAGTAGTTCAGGAGGAAGGGGGAATGAGAAGAAAAATAATAAGGTAATTGTGAGGAAAGGATGAGCAGACGGAACAAAAGACGACAAGTAGGAACAGGTGATAAAAGAGAACAAATGAAGCGGGGGAGGAGGAAGTGGTGAATAAAGAAGAAAGATGATGAAGGAGGAGACGAATAACAAATGGAGACGGAGGAGGAAGATCATGCTGCTATAACATGAACAAAAGACAAAACGAGAATAAAGAAACGCACACAGGAGACAGAGAGAAAGAGAGAAAAGGAGAGAAGAGAAATGAGAGAGAGAGAGAGAGAGAGAGAGAGAGAGAGAGAGAGAGAGTGTGTGTGTTGTGGCACTGACCTACAAGCGTTCGTACTATACTACCAATATTCCTTGTAAATGGAGATGTAAGAATGCACTAAACTGTATAATTTAATCTAAACCCCCAGAACAGAGTTAAAAATTAGCAACAAAATCACACGAACTAACTAACTCACTAACTAAACTAGAAACTTTCACTTAACTGTTAGGAGACAATGGCATGGTATCCGTCTTTAATTGGTTTTTTCTGATGTAAAGTTAACGTATCTAGTTAAGGTAAGACTTTGTGAGTCATTTTGATAATTTTTTAATAAATTTTTTGTGCCTTAAGTCAAACAGGTGCCCAAAACCGTGAAGATTTTAAAACGTCCTTAAAATAATTGAGACTTTATAAAAAAAAAAGAGATCAAATGAATATCTGTCGCCGTATGATGGTCTTTTTATCGAGCAGTACACCTACAGGGAGGGCCAGGTATACTGTGTGACTTCAACCTGACACAGGGAACAACTGAGCTATTGAAGTGTCACTGACAATGGTGGGGTTTAAAATCAGTCTACATTGGATTCGTTCACTGAATGTATAAAAACAAAAACATTGCGGGGTACAATAGTGCATCGTGAGTGGGAAATAAAAATGTGACTTTACTTGACAAGGGCAATAACACTGTCAATGTTTGAGTGACTGACAATGTTTCATATCAACACCACAATCCATTTTTATCAAGGAAATAATTGCGAAAAAAATCAAATTAACACGCTGTTACTATGATAAAAAAATCGACCACTGTATTTTTGGGGTAACACATCTGTCCGTATTGGTGTACACGAACGCTGAAACTGGCTGAAAATCGAATCAATTGACCCAGACATATATATACAGAATTTAAAAAAAAAAATCTTGCCTTACATTTGATAATTTTTACGTAATCCTGCTAACAGAGCTTCGTGTTAACAGACGGGCACGTAACCTACCCCATGGGGTGTAATAAATATTCATGTGCCTGTGTAAGGTTACTTTTTTTCACTTTATTAACATCCACACATACCTACGTCCACATTCACACCCACTTTAACCAATACTTACACCCACACCATGAGCACATCCAGGCCTATACGCACACCAGTATCAACATCCATTACTATACACACACAAGAACTCCCTCACTCACACACACAGCTATAGTAAGCTAAATGCGTCTACAGTAATCATTTAATCATATATAAAAGATAACTGACCTTTGACCTTTATAAATAAGGTCTACAAAATATATCCAACCCCTAAATATTGACCCAACAAATGTAATAGTGGAAATATGACCAAAACTTTTTGCCTGTTTAAAAGAAGAAAAGTGAGATCGCCGGAGAATATATACCAATATTATTTATGTCAACACAGACCAAACTCGGTAAACAAAAATTCTTTGAAGTTTGTACGAGTAAAATTTCTTCGTGTAAATGATAATGTATGTATCCGAGTGACGACATTAGGGGGAACCTGAAAATAATGTAAAAAAAAATAATAGCATAGAAATTACAAGCGAAACTCTACCATAACGAGATACAGTAGGTTCATTTAGCACCAGTTAGAGAACAAAGTTAACGTATACATTTATTTATTTATTTATTTATTATTCAGAGTCCCGCCACTATCCCCGAGTTCAACCACTACCCCTGAGCCACATCACTACCCTTGAGCCAGGTGTAGAAGAGTTAAGGAGGGGAAGAGAGGGTATAACAGGGAAAGCGGGGTGGGGACGGAGGGGCGGGGAGGGCCGAGGGGTGGGGACGTGGAGGGGTGGAGACGAGGAGGGGCCGAGGGGTGGGGACGAGGAGGGGACCGGGGAGGGGGCCGAGGGGTGGGACGTGAGGGGTGGGGACGAGGAGGGGCCGGGGGAGGGCCGAGGGTGGGGACGTGGAGGGGTGGGGACGAGGAGGAGCCGGGGGAGGGGCCGAGGGGTGGGGACTTGGAGGGGTGGGGACGTGAAGGGGTGGGGACGAGGAGGGAGCCGAGGGGTGGGGACGTGGAGGGGTGGGGACGAGGAGGGAGCCGAGGGGTGGGGACGGGGGGGTGGGGGTGGGGACATGGAGGGTGGGGACGTGGAGGGTGGGGACGTGGATGGGTGGGGACGTGGAGGGTGGGGACGAGGAGGGAGCCGAGGGGTGGGGACGAGGAGGGAGCCGAGGGGTGGGGACGTGGAGGAGCCCGAAGGGAACTACCTCCCAGCCTCCGCCAGACTAGCATGTAGCCTGAAGGCGCGACAATTTCCATAATATTACAAAATATTTCTCCTCGTCTCAGGCCGAGTAATTTCCTCAATAATGTACTCGACAACTTCCTGCCTCTCCTCTCCCCACACTCGTCACTCACAGCTCCGGCGGTCCACATAACTAGAAGCGAGTTTTATCCAATAAGACTCATACTTTACAAGTCTACTAATGTGTGCAAGTCAGCTGTGATTATATATGCAAATGACATGTCCGTGAGAGTAAGAAGAAAATTAAAACAATCTTTATTTATATTACTTTTATAGATTACGGTATATTATCAAGAGAAGAGAAATGGAAAATAAAAAACAAACGAACAAACGAGAGAGAGAGAGAGAGAGAGAGAGAGAGAGAGAGAGAGAGAGAGAGAGAGAGAGAGAGAGAGAGAGATCCTCCCTCCACCTAACAGCTGACAACACTGAACAAACAAGAGAAAAACGACGAATTTAAGTACATAAGTGACTTACCTCGATGCCTTGGACCTTGAGCTTCATGTGGTCCTCTCGGGTAGTCTTGCCGTCCTTACGTTTCTTCCAGCAGTACCCGTCGCGTCGGTATCTCACCTTCTTTCTTGAGTACAGCAGCATGGACCCGCTCTTCGGCCTGCCAGAGGAGGAAGGAAAGAAACCACACTTTAATGGTCGGGTTTATTTCTATACTATTATCGTTCTCCATCTCATTCAGTCTATAATACAAATCCAAAGACAGACTACAGACACACACAGAGACATTGGTGTAAGGAACAATACAATTTTTATTTTCGTTTCGTCCACAACTGTCTTTCAAATAAAATAAAAATCCTATTTGCTGTGTCATCAGGTGTTGAGGCCGCGAGTATGTATTTTGGCGAGAACAGAGAATATTATATTTCAAGTAAATAGACATTCATGTTTGCTCTCACATACCACACAGTTTTACGGATATATTTCCATCATATATATTGCATACATATACTTGGTTGATAGCACCATTCCGATAATATTAATGTTAAATATTAATGCGATATAAAAGTATGTGGGTTTCTACTTTAATGACAAATGCGGAAATTCCACTAGGCCCGCCTCACTCGCATGCGAACTGAGGTGCTCTGTATGACGCATTCCTCCCTTGACAGCCATGACATAAACCCCTCGAGTACGACGACTGAACCCTTTAAGTACAATGACATGACCCCTTGGATATGATGACTTAATCCTCTGACATCCCCTGGCGTTTAGAGGGTCAGTTTCTTCAGACACACACGATTTAACCAACAAAGAGAATGGGGAAGAGAGAAAGAGTGAGAGCGAGAGATACTGTGTGTGTTTGTTTGGTCTTTCTCCATGCCCTTAAAACTGTCACACGTTTCAGTATTCGAGTGAACCTTTAAACATATTTTCCCGCTATAGTATCTAGTAAGAAACCCTGAAAAAGGCACAAAAGCTCTTAAAAGGTAAATCTAAATCCAGTTTTACCGCCTGAACACAGTCAAGAGTAACTTGTATACCCAAACAACCACAAATATGTTAAATTTCACATAACTTTAAACCCACAAATGAAAAATACTAATACATTAAATTATGTTAAAATATAAACAGAAGGCGACATTTTAAGTTCTATTAATGCTTTAAGGCCATGCAAAATGTACACATATCAACGTAACTCTTACTCTTTTTATTGCAAACAGCAGCTATTAATCAACACGACCAGTCCCCGCCTGATATATTATTCATCCATCCTCACTGCCTTCCTAGATGATTAATCAATCACAAGTTTGTTTGAAATTCAGAAGGTTATTCACAGAGAGGATGAAAGCAATATAGTTACCCAACACGCTTTATCTAAACTGCTATATTGGTTTCCGTTACCTAACCGTCAACCATTTGCTTACGTATCACTCATAATTTTTAACAACGCTTTACGTGTTTCATCGCATATCGTAAGCTAGCGTGGACTGTTGTGTTCCAAAGTGCTATGTTAGATAATGGATTAGAAGGATTATGGATCGTGTTTAATAGTTATATCGTACACGACTTCGTTATCGTTAACGACCCCCCCACAACTTACCTTGCTATGTTCAGTTATAATCAATGTGTAGTTCATGAATTAGTTTGTATGCAATAAAAGGTCCTGAAGTTGTGTGTTTCCTCTCCTTGTGTTTCTCTGCACTTAACCGAGTCTCTATTTCCTCCCTTATATTAACAATCATATAATTCGACGGATTTGCTGTCATCATTTGCACGCTCTCCCATATCCACGTCAATAATGACTTACTCACTGTTAATGTCACACTACATTGATTGTCGTGTTAGTTATGGGTTTTCTACATATTAAAAACTATAGACAGTCAATAATACTCATTCTTTGTCTTCATACTTTTTTTTTAAGAATGCACCACGGATTTGAAACGGACGGCTCAATGATCAACAAGGGGATTTTCGAACAAACAGCCTCAGTTGTTGTTTATTTAGCTCTTGTGTAGTCCTTTATTGCCCCCGATGAACAAAGTGTCGCTATGAGGGACTGAGGGCAGCTAACAGAAAAAGTGGAGAAGGAATGCGAATATTATATGGTATATTTGTGTATTACTGTGGCTGTGTGATTAGTGGTGAAACTATGGGCAAGTTTATTTACGCCGTTTGCCTCTGTTAATCGATTTGCGTATCGTGATCCAGGGTAATGGTTAGCCAGTGCAGTTGGCGCGTTGTCCGGTCATGCAACTCGTTAACTCAGGGTGTGGTTGTTGTGTTGGCGACAGCTTCTACACCTTAAACAAATTCACGCCTAGGTGGCCCTAGGGCCGGCCATCCTCGTTACACGAGGTAGAACTATTATTATTATATTAGTGGTTCATCTAGCGGGAAACACAGTCAACGGCCCGACTGGACTAACACATCGTCCGTCTCATCATCCTTCAGCGAGTCTATTTGTCGCCATTAGTATGAGGATATGCCATTAGTCCGTTGAGTTCCCTCCTCCAGTGTGACAAATTGGCCTTTCAGTACGAAACTCGAGCAAGAAACTCCTTCAGGAAACAAGTGGCTCACCTCAGTAAGTAACTTTGCAACTTTGCTCCTTTCTTTAACTTCACTGTACCTCACAAGTCAGCCATGGGCCAATAATTTTACTCCAGCGTTATCTTCACTACTGTCTTACTGAAAATTTACCAAAAAACGGTAATCAGAGGAGAGAGAAAACTGTACCAAGAGATAAAATGATAATAGCGTGAGGGTAATAACAGATAGCAGTGCATGACAGCAACGAGCGGCAGCACTTCCGCCCTACGAGCCGCCACTTACGGTAGACGTCAAAGGAAAATCCACACAAATGAGGGCATGACGTGCACCGATTGGTCCTTACACCAAGACAATTCACTAAAGTTTCTTCCAATATGAACTAAATTACGTCCAAAGTTAACTAAAATTAAATTAGTTGAATACATTTAATTATTGTTTAGGTTTGGTTAGGGGTCAATTATTGTAGGGATATTGTCGGGGAAGTGGAGGAGGGAGGGCAGTAAGGAGCGTGTTGGAGGATTAAGGCCAATCAGTGTACATCATACTACACCCGCATACACCTACCGTCTGCCAAACCGCTTCCAGTACAGAGATAAAGATTTCGCTGCTCAACTGACTCAGAAAAAACTATATTCAATGCAGCAGAGTTCACGACAGACAGTGTGATGAATGTGTACATGACAGGGTGGTGTTTTGGGTGGCGGGGTGGTGTTTGGGTGGGCGGGGTGGTGGTTTGGGTGGGCGGGTCGTGTTTGGGTGGGCGGGGTCGTGTTTGGGTGGGCGGGGTCGTGTTTGGGTGGGCGGGTCGTGTTTTGGGTGGGCGGGTCGTGTTTTGGGTGGGCGGGGTCGTGTTTGGGTGGGCGGGGTCGTGTTTTGGGTGGTGGCAGGGTGATATTTGGGTAGCAGGGTGAGGTTGTGACCGTCGGTATAAATTAAGGTACACACACACACATGTAGTATAAAGTTGACACGATCAATGTTGTGTCTAGACAGTCATTGTTAACACTTTCCATGATCCTGTGTGTGTGTGTGTGTGTGTGTGTGTGTACCTCGGTTAACACATTCCTGGGGGCAGTGGATGCTGGATTAACTCTTGATACAGTAAACTATATATACTATACGAACGCGAAACCTGACACAAAACTAAGTAATCCATAATTCACTACATTAAATATTTACACCCAAGGAACATACGACATTAAAATCTCCCGTCGTGTTTTTTGAGAATCCTGGCGACGTGTGTGGTGTATAGATAAGATTTACCATAAAATCTACAGAGAGGTTTAATCATCTATCCAAATCAATAAAAACACCTCTTTATTTACATGTAGTACTAATTTTCACACTAGTTTTAAGATGATTGACAATTATTTTTTTTTACGAGTTATGCTCCAGAAGACAGACAGACAGACAGACAGACATACAGGACTTTTGACGGATTCGATTTCAATATTATTCTTCCCCATCAGCTAACCAGAGAGGGGAATAATAATCGAATATTTTCCTTTGAACTTCAACAAGGGGAGAAAATGTCCACATGAGGTTATATCTGCCTGTCTGTCTGTGTCTGTCTGTCTGTCTGTCTGTCTGTCTGTCGAATAACTTACAATTATGGTTAAACAAAAGTATTATTAACGAGGAATCAAGAAGTGAAGATGTAGGTCAAGACGAACAAACTGGGTCCGAAAAATATGTAAAGTAAAAAAAGAAAGAGGAAGAAGAAGAAGAAGGAGATTGTCAGAGGGAAGAGGAGAGACGGTGATGAAGAAGCGGTTTAGATGAAAGTTAACTGGGAGCAAGTAGAGGTGCTTGAAGAAACGAGTGGAGGAGAGACTGGATAAAGAGGGTGTGGAGGGTGGAGAAGAGACTGGATAAGAGGGTGTGGAAGGTGGAGGAGAGACTGGATAAGAGGGTGTGGAAGGTGGAGAAGAGACTGGATAAGAGTGTGGAAAATATGTAAAGTAAAAAAAGAAAGAGGAAGAACTGGATAAGAGAAGAGACTGGAGATGGAAGGTGTGAGACAGACTGGGGAAGAGGAGGTGAGACGGTGATGGAAGGTGGAGAGAGACGGTGGAGGTGAGACTGGATAAGAGTGGAAGGTAGACTGGGAGCAAGATAAGAGAGGTGACTTGAAGAAACGAGTGGAGGAGAGACTGGATAAAGAGGGTGTGGAGGGTGGAGAAGAGACTGGATAAGAGGGTGTGGAGGGTGGAGGAGAGACTGGATAAGAGGGTGTGGAAGGTGGAGGAGAGACTGGATAAGAGGGTGTGGAAGGTGGAGGAGAGGCTGGATAAGAGTGTGGAAGGGGAGGAGGTGGAGATGAGGTTGGCAAAAGGGTGTGGGAGAGAAAACCAAGAAAGAAGTAAATAAACAAAGTGGAAAGAATATTGAAAAAAAACCCAAGAGAATGGATAAAATGGTAGAAAATGATTCCAAGTGGTGTGTGTGTGTGTGTGTGTGTGTGTGTGTGTGTGTGTGTGTGTGTGTGTGTGTGTGTCAAAATTATTAAAATCTTGGGTACGATTGTCTCAAGGTCAAGGTCACGTCAGATCAGGTGGTCAGAACAACGACGATAACATTTTCTCTCGGGTAGTTAAGCTGCCATGATTAACCTTCACAGATAAAATAAATACATTTCTCTTTAAAAACTCTTAAGACTTTTTCCAATATACATCCGACACCACCAGTCACTAAAACCATTTCCAAATTTAAAAAAATATATATATATATCAACAAATGTCTTTTATAGAGAAAGATAAAAAAAAAATAATGTGGGAAATATATCAATAATGTTACTCGACTCCACTGGACGATATTAAGAATTTTAGAAGACAATCAAAGGAATAAATGGGCCAACCGCGGTGATGACTGTCAGGGTTAAATCTGGATGTTGGGGACCTGGACTACTTACCCCCTCACCCTTCTCCTCCCCCTCCCCCAGTCTTCCTTCTTGGTGCGTTTCCTTCTGTGGTGGTAGGACGATGGCCAATGATCTTTCTGTCTCGTATAATACAAAGACCAATCTCTCCTATAGTAAAAAGACCAACGACCTGTATTTCTTATTCGTGTTGCCTTTGTGTTGTGATGCATTTGTAGTGCACAGAAACGACCTTCTGAGTTTTTCTATATAGGAACGACCTTTTTAGTTTGTTACTCTACAAGAAAGACCTTTACGTGTCTATTTCCTGCCGCCAGGGGTTTGATACCACCACTAGAACGACCTTATTACACGGAATTTATATCAAAGTTTAATACCACCTTGAAAATGACCTTGTATAGTGATTCGCTTTCCTGTCAAGAGTCGATAAAAAACACTAAACCGACTTATTTTTATCATTTTAGTGTCGGATGGTTTGATAACTAAAACACAACCACTGTAGTACCTCATCTTCGTGTCAAGTTGTTTAATAGCACCATTACCAAGACCTTTATCTCTCTTATCTTTCCGTCAGAGGGTTTAGTTGCATGTACAGACACGACTTCCGTGTTCTGTTAACATGTCTGTTGAAGTACCGGGAACAACGGCATCTTGGTTAAGTACTTTTTAATTATAGGATATACGGGTAAGTAACTACTATCTCTTATACCAATATGAGTACAATGTATATAGTATTATAGAATATAATATAATGTATACATTATAGAGTATCATTATTCTACAGCACCATGACACTGTGTGGGCTGTCATTTCTCTCACACACACACACACACACACACACACACACACACACACACACACACACACACACACACACACACACACACACACACACACGTCATAATCAACACCACAACAATTATCGGTAAACAATGAATAAGCAATCTCAAATTATGTAACGGTTATGACTGTGTGTGTGTGTGTGTGTGTGTGTGTGTGTGTGTGTGTGCGCGCGCACGACCTACACGGGTATATATTTGTTTAGGTTGACGAAGCTGCCACCAACACAACAACAACTTGAGTTAGCGAGGTATATAGCCCGGTGCCGAGGTAATAATATGCCCATGAAGACCGGACAACTTCGTAACCGCACTGACTCGATGTTAACCCCCAGAACACGACCCGATTAATCGATTTACATCCAGGTCACCATTACTACTGGGCACACGGGCAGATGGTGACGTTTCGATATGTTGCTTCACTACCAAAGACAAAATTTCCGATACAGTACATGCCTATACAGTATACTTTCATTCATACATACATACATACATACATACATACATACATACATACATACATACATACCGGTACATGAATACGCACAGAAGACATACTTATCGTCTATAATAATAATAATAATAATAATAATAATAATAATAATAATACAAGTAAAATTTTAAGTCTTGCCATCTTCGATTGAACAGATTTAAAAAAAATACCCCCCCCTCACTGCACTTTTCATTCACCACAAAGAAAATAGCACAGGAACTTCTATATAAAAATTTAATAGCATAAAAGGATTACATTCCTGGAAAGACAAACTTTTAATTGGTGAGTGTCACGCTACATCACGCCGACTGCTGGTCCACCTGCCTCAAACAATCTCAGGATATATTTCCATCCTATAAAATTACAGCTAGGAAATGCAGCTAGAGTTACGGTAAAGTCTCAGTACACTTCCGGAGCTATTTTAAGCCTATATCGTCAAGCAGTAGGGGAGAAATTAAGCTTGTGGAAAGCGTTCAGGGGTGTCTGCGGGAGGTAAGCTCAAGACCAGCAGAGATAAGTGTGTAAAGTAATTAAATCGTAATAGTCCCTAGTAATAATGGACTCATGGACTCCAATCCTAATAGGCTACAATATACTTATAAGCCTCCAACACTGCTCCCAATCCCTATGTTGCTAAGATTATAATAGGAGGAGAGTCTTATTAGAACTAAGACCTATTAAGCTAACCCTATTATGCCTAAGGGTCTATCAGCACTAAGGAAGGACTGCTTGAATTAAGGCCTATTAAGACTAGTAGGTATTATGACTCGAAGCTATTAGGACTGAGAACATCTTGCACCTGTCAGCTCAAGATCTAAATAAGACGAGGTTGACATAATTGTTTTACTAAAAGCCTGTAATATCCTCCCCCATAGCTGCCCCCTTGTAATAGGACTATGGGAGTAAGCCAATTAAATGACCTTTTACAGACGTTTCTATTTAATGAAAATAATGCTCACTATAATGACTGCCACTCGTGTCCTACTAATTACTATCCGTTTTATAAGACTTGTGAAATATTCTATGCTATAACACTTCTCACTATTATATAAAAGTGGGTGACAAACGTTTTTACAGGTATTTTTCGGTATAACACCTGACACTATTATCATATATTATGCTTTTTTTTTATTTTCTGGGTCGAGCCATCAATTATGATAATCGTGTGATATATTATGGAGAAGCGAGAGGGGGGGGGGGTCTGTACTATGTTATGACACGTGGGGTTGGGAAGTATTATTATTATTATTATTATTATTATTATTATTATTATTATTATTATTATTATTATTATGAACAATGATAGACAAAAGTAATAATAATTAATATATTTTAATCACTTTTACTATAATTATTAATATTAATGTTTTTATTCTCTGACTTTTTATAAACAACAATAATAATAAATAAAACAGCCTAATACAGTATTATTATTGAGATGAAAAAGGTAATTAAAACATTAATACTGTTAATAATGATAGAAACAGTGATTATAATATATAAATTATTATCAAGGTAGCATTATCACTGTCATTAATCTGTCTCAACATTACACACACACACACACACACACACACACACACACACACACACACACACACACACACACACACACACACACACACACACACACACACACACACACACACACACACACACACACACACACACACACACACACACACACACACACACACACACACACACACACACACACACACACACACACACACGGGTTCCTACAATGCACTGTGCAGGGTGAGGGAGAGGCGAGAATCCCTCTTCACCGCTCACGTACGCGCTGGACCAGACCCTTCTGAACCCAGCCTTAATTTTCCACAAGTTTAAATAGAAATTTCACGGACGGACTGGAAGCAACTCTCTCGCCCGGGCCTGAGAACCACACACTGTTGAGCTCGTATTTCAGACCCGGAGAGATTAATTTTAGAAGTGGTTAATCTAAGATGAGGAACATGTGCGCACGTAAAGCACTCTCATATATTTACTTACACACACACACACACACACTTTATATACACAAACGCACACAAATATGTATATAAACATTTATATACAAGCATGAGTCATACAGTATATACATATAGACACATACGGAACGACAGGCAAATATAATCACAAATATAGATCAACGCACAAGCATACATATACAAAATTAAAAATGCACATGCAAGCGCACATACACACAAATATACATTTATGCATACATATAGACAGTCAGGCAATTAAGCACAGACAAACCGTGAAAAACGCAAAAGCAAACCTACATAAATGCAGTATGTAAAGGGGGACACACACACACACACACACACACACACACACAAGATATAATACTATGAAATTAGGGAGAAGGAAGAACATACCTGATCTTGACCTCCTTGGAAAGCCAATCAGTGTGTCGGTCGAAGCTGATCAGCAAGGAGGCGATTTCCTGTAAGAGAAAACGGCAGTTATTACAAGGGGGAACTGAGGCAAAATACTCGCACGTCGGAATACTTTTTAAATGTGTGTGTGTGTGTATGCGCTAGTATATTTATGGGTGTAGTTACGTTCGCGTGTACATATGTGCAACAACAGTGTGTGTGTGTGTGTGTGTGTGTGTGTTTGAGCGTGTAATCGTTTAGATACAACCGGACACATTAACATAATTCAAGACTACCTTCGAGGCAGTTATAACATATAAAACGATACTAATACCTGGGACAAATTTTGTTATTTACAGGGACAAGGAAAACTGAGCTAGTAAAATACTACTTATTGGCCACCTCGCCCGTGTTTCCCAATAACCTGAATAATGGGTGGACATAGCCAATAAGGCCGCGGTATACCTCCTGGGCGGCGACCAATCAGGCGGCGGGATTCAAATGATGGCGCGCCGGGGCTCCCAAAGTGAATCTCCCGCCATTACTGCCTGATGATATTCCAGAGTCCGGATTTCACAGTCGTTGGGTTGAGGCCCTCCCACCTCCGTGTTATTAACTGAGCCATTCCCCAAGGGCGGCTCCCTCCTACAGCTTCTGCAGGAGCCACCTCTCCTAACATTTACATTTGATGAGACCAAACTGCTTATGAGACGGTAGCCGGCGGGGCGTGCAATAACACACTTCCTCTTTCTTCTTGACTTGGTTGAAGAACTCTATTGTTACTGTACGTCTCTCTCCCTACCCTACCCTTGATTACCTGGTGAAGACGCGCAGTTATTATCACCTTGTCTCCCTTGTTGCTGGGACAACTAGGAACACATAAACGACTTCCTCTCCGACTCTCTTTCCCTTCCTACTCATTGTTCTCTTCCAACAACACCTCCTGCCTTACCCCCATAATAACAACAACTCCACTTGGTACCATTTCTAACAGTAATTCTTGCCCTTTACTACCACTTCCGTCTGTGAAATAATCCTAATGGTATACCTCTAACCTCTTCCCATCACTTAAACCAACACCACTTTTTGACTCTTGCCCAAGACTTTTCGATCCTGCATGTACACACTTAGCACCTCTAGCCCAGTAACATTCCTTAGCTACACAAACAGTCGCAGCCAGTACATCTACACTAGTTCTTGCATCATAAGACAGGTTGACAGCACAGTACTAGGAGAGACTGTGAACCATTGTGATGGGGAGGATCAGACCAGCTCCTGTATGTCCGGGGTATTGAGGTGTGTTTGGTGAACCTCATAAACATTTTCGTTTCAAGAAATTCTGAAACCGAGTCTGGGAGAACTACTAATAACAAACTGCGTAAATGAACCAGGTGAAACAATCGCTGTAGAGGGAGTGAGGAGGTGTACTGTATAGTTTAGGAGGCTGGGTGAGAGTGAGGTAGATCCATCTTTAATTCCTGACATCGGGGAAGGCACGCTGGTATGTGTAGTGTATAGTTGGGGCCCCGTCTCACTATCCTCACCTAGATGAGGTCCGGTTGCTGCCTGCCTCACGACCCTTATTTAGAAGATGTCACGTTACTCTGTTCTGTGTCCGTTCGGTATCGTGATCTTCTGTTTTGAATTATTTGATGCCAGCTAGACCTCCCTGCCTGCCTACCACTCCGTCACTCTCTATTTCCCCACTATTGTTTTAATGTATGTAGGCGCTTCAACAGGCAGAGTTTTCAAGCTCCGTTAAATAAATCTGAAGTTTCAACACTACACAACAACTTACAAAACTTATCAAGGATATTCTTCCGTCACACGCAACATTGCTCCCACCTACCTCTTATTCTCACACTATTACTCACCACAACTCGGTACTAGGATTCACTCTTCCTATCACAACCATCCTACTCACCCCCTCAAAGCCCCATTCCCCATTACCTCTCACCCCAGCAAGCGTGACAGGTTGCTCATTAGAGACCTATTTCGCACTTGGGTTGACGCGCTTCGTTGCCAGACGTAAAATCAACTAAAGTTTCACTATTTTATGTGATAATCACCCATAATATTGTAATTTATTCTTGCCTCCTAACGTCTCAGTAGCCAGCTGTCTCTTTATATCAACTGTGGCCTGATTCTACACAAGATAATAGCACTTTCTTTAAGATTGATTTAATATACGTACTGCTCTTTGACAAAAGAGTTAATTTTTTCATGCACGGTGTTCGTTAACTTGGTTCTCTCTCTAATGCTCATGATTACCGTCTTCCCTCCAGTCAGATAATTCTTCCTCGCTCACTCAGTTATCCTTAAGTTGCATAAATTACAAAGTTCCCCCTTCACTTGGCTGATTAAAGCCTAGTTACTTAAGGTCCCCCCCCCCCACTTAAACTACACCCAGCTCCCCCCCCCTCCTCAACCTACCTTCCTTCCTTCCTCATCCCTCAACGATATAACTTTCCACACATCATAACTACACCTTGCCTAACCTAGTTTTAACCGAGCTTAGTTTTACCATACATATTCTGATCTAACCTTAATTTAGCCTAACCTCACCTGAACTCACCCACAGTCAACCAAGCATGAGTACACAAAACGAAAATTCAAGCAATACTTAAAAAAAAAATAACACTCACCCCCAAAAACACACCCAGTCTATAACACTCAACCAGACACTACTCTAAATAAACACATTAAAACACCCTCATTTGTCCACAAAATTTGGCATAGCCCTTAACAGTCAAATCAGAAAGGTCGACAAGGTTAGGTCAAAATTTTCCAAGTAAACTCGTGACACTACTACCATAAACTGACACCAAACAACCGCGTGACACTAAGTAAACCTGACACCAAGGAGAGCTCTCTGACACCATCATACATGACTCAGCAACCAACAGTAAAGTGACACAACACAGTGACGCGTGACACTCCCAAGACATAATATTACAGTCACAAGAGAACTGACACTTGTATTAAGACTTGTTTTACGACTAATAAAATTGTTTTGTCAGCAAGTAAGTTATTGTTTTAACTGGTCACAATCCACACGCAGCCCAGCCACACAAAAGAGCAAACTACATGTATATACTATTATGGTATTTCTCTACCAAACTTTCTTTTTAATATCTTGGGTTTTTTTTCTTCTTCTAGTAATTATTTGTCATACTTAATTTAGGTATTATTAGTCCTGTTATTTTTCACTAAGTACTTTATTTTTTTGTATTGTATTTATATTTTATTATAATTTAGCTACGTACTTCATGTCAAATGGTTCTAGGTAGTGTTTCTGCATCACTAATAAAATGCGTCAACTCGCTGCTTTGTTGTCCTCTAGTAATTTAATTTATTTTGAAAGCAGAGGTACCCAGCCATACGTGTTACTAATGGCATCAGATTTAAAAACACAACGCTCATTTGTTTTGGTGCCTTGTATACCCTTCAATGTACTTAAGCAATGCTCATTTGGTTTGGCGCCTTGTACTCCTTCAATGCACTTATACTTATGGTTGATACTGTCCAGACTTATGTTAATACTGTTACTTCATCTGTTACTCATACTGTTGTTGGTATTGTTACTCCAGTGAATATTAGGCTATACAGTTGCTGTTCTTACTGTTTACTGTTACTTCTGTTGGCTATAAATGTTTCTTTTACTGTTATTGTTACTCCTCAAGTTACCGTTATCTACACCTGTCCTTTATTATCGACATGTACACCTGTCTCGTATCATTCGTCCTATTGCTCGTAACTTCCCTTTAGTGAGGTTACAGTAGGTCTTGATCTATACCACACATAAAAGCTGGAGAGAAGTAAAGACAAAATAATAAATAATATAACTGACTAACAATATATTTTTGGGTGTGAACTTTCTAGGTCTTTGAGATATATATTTTTGTGAATGATTTATTTCAGTAGTGAATGTTATCTCCTTTTATCTACCGCAAACGTGTAAACTTTTGTTCGACTATTTTTCTCCCAACTGGATTTTTATTTGAAGTTGGTGTTATAGTGACCACAGTGAGCGAGCGAACAGCCAGTGTTTCCTCTAAACTCAAGTCTAACAAAACGCTTTAAATGGCATACGCAACACCACTTCTTGTTTAACCAACGTTTTTATTTGTTTTTGTTCTACACACACACACACACACACACCTCATGTTCAACAATTGTTTTTTTTTTCCCGCCACACTCAACATTAACAATATATTCAACAAATGTGTATTCTCAGCCACTTCAACATCAGGTCATAATTACAAAACGTTTTCTCAGTAATCAACACATGTGGATCCAACATTTTCTCAACCACATTCAACATTCCTAGCCTCTACACATTCATCTCCTCGTCCTCACAAACTCCATTAGAATTGGTAGTTCGGGTGTGGGGGGTGTGTGCGGCGAGGTAGGCCTGGATCAAAGTGGCAGAGTGAGGTCCCTTGTGTGTTGCAGCCAGCCAGTGTAATAGCTGAGTGAGTGGGGCGTCGTCTGGATCTGTCCCACTTTCCCTCTCCCCACATTCCTCCCTTCCTCTTCCCACACCCATACCTCCCCTTCACCATTCCCTCCTTCCTCTTCCCACATAACTTCCTCCATCTATATACAGTACAAATCTCCTTCCCTCTCCCTTTCTCGTTCCCTCCCTCCCCCTACCTACATCCTCACCCGGCTCTCCTAAGATTAGGATTTCCATTATAATCGACGCCCAATACGAGGGTCCAATCCTATGTATGGTGACCCTTTCTGTGTGTTGACCCTCCCTGTATGGTGACCCTGTATGGTGATCCTGTATGGTGACCCCCGGGTAGTCTCCCATAGAAGACTACAGAGAGCTACAGGAATATCAAGGAGGAACGTAATTAATTTCCCCCTTCAGAGACCTCAGATGGCATCCCTGGGTTGTTTCTTGTAAGTTTGACGGTAACGCGGCGAGAGATTAAGGCCTTTACTGTAGATCTTAACAGTTGGTTCTTTGTCTGCACCAACGTAACCAATACTTCTCACTGGATATATTTAACACGTTCTTCCATTTTATCACACTAAAAAAAATTATAACAGACCA